CAACAGTTGACTGCTGGACGTAGTCGCTTCCCAAGGCGCGCCATATCATCGGCCATGTGCATCAAATTCGTTACTCATATAACAATATTCAAATATACAAGTTATTTTTAACCGACTTCAAAAAAGAGGAGGTTGTTGGAGACTGTATTTTTTGTGTATGTATGTTACGCGTTTGTCCGGCCTTTGTGAACAGATTTTGATGATTTTTTTTTATTGGAAAGAGGGTATCTCAGTTTTGGTCCCATTTAAATTTGAACAAAATATTCCACCTTTAAGGGGATTAATCCGGTTTCGCGCACTTCCGGTAACCACTGACCATCCACGAACTTTTGAGGTCAGTTGTTCCTTTTATAAAAAGTTATAATTTATGATATCATATGACGCATAAATAATGCGCCTGGTTCTAAGCGACACTCCTTATCCATAACAATTGCAGTGCCACACTCTTTAAGGTTTAAATCACAAAGATCTTAGGGCCACTGTGGTTATCCCTCTGACACATGAGTTATGATGATATGTGCTTATAATTTCACCAGCACCCTTATCAGGTCACACAGAGGCGGCCGCGCGTTTCAGTGTGGCATGGTTCATAAACTCGTACATCACAAACATTCCCGCGCCCGGAACGCCTCCGCGGCCGCCTCTGTGTGGCCGAAGCATTACTCTCCACAACCGGAATGCAGTAATGCTCACATTATTGGCAACACAAATATTTATTAACGTTTCAAATTTTCATTTGAAATTCATAGGTCGAATTTTATAAACGAAAAATGCAACCTGATATCCAGAGCCGCATTTGCGTTATCTTCAAATTACCTAGTTATTTATCTCATAATCTGTAACAAACGTAACTATAGATCCAACATTTTCATGTTGACATTGGCATTGTACAAGTCGCCTTTATTTGTCTCCGCTTTTATGGAATTGATACGATGACGTGTCACGTCTTCGTGGAAATTTCAAAACCTGTTGTTACTGCGGGTTTAGTTGTCTTCCTTCAGAACAGAACTCTTTCCTTGGGAGCATGCCACGATGGAGTTTCAGTTGTCGTAGATTTGAATGGTGTAAAAGTAAGACGGGTCGATCTGATTTGGTTGACACTGGGAATGCAGTACAAGTTTCAGTTGGCCGGTCGCCATGCACTGTCGTCGTCACCATGTGGTCAGCGCCACTCGCAGAGCCGTAAACAAAAAGCTATATGACTCAGACGCTTATAAATCAGCGTATAGGGGTTTCGAATGCTTCTGGTTGTATCAAATCGCTGTATTAATGATGTATTAACATCTTAGATGTAGCCAGATGGCGCCTTTTGTTTTAGGGAGTCTTCACAGTCTGGTGAAATTACAGGCACGTGGAACTTGTCATCTTGTCTCAGGGTGACGGGCGCAGTGGTAGTGCCCCTCAGATCTTTGCGATTGAAAGCTCTGAGTGGCGCTGTGACTCTTATGGACAGGTGTGTAGCTTACCATCAGGCGCACGACTTGTTCGTCCCATTACTTGATGTTATAAAAAAAACACTTATGGACGCGGAATCATTGGCGAAGAGTTGGCCAAATCATTGGCGAAGAGTTGGCCAATCATTGGCGGACAGTTGGCCATCGACGCCGTGGGACACTGTTACTATCACCCTGAGATATAGTTGACTAGTCCCATGCGCCTGTAATTTCACCAGCAACCTTCAAAATCGAAATACAATTCACATTACTGCTTAACGGCGAAAATGGGTCCTTACACATGGCAGGACTGCTCTGGACGAACCCCTTCACAAGGAGCTCTACTGCTACTAACTATTACTACTTACTATCTTATATCGTATACTTTTTATCGTATCGATGAACTCCAGAACTTAACCACGCTGATCCCGCCACAAATAGCCGCCATGCTGAACTGTGTATGGAACATGTTTGCCATTGTGGTGAAAATCAATGTGAAGTACTCGTCGATTGTTGGTCAGTGTGCGCCAGACGTATTAAAAATACAATTCGTGCATCTCATTGCGGGGAGGAGGAGTCAAAGGAGCCCCTTTCGTGCACCCCGGAAAAAAGAATACGTTATCGTGGTCAGAAGTTACAGTAACAAAAACTAGTATCAAATTTGTTTTGGTAACGCCGAATTTTTCGCAAAACTCTTAACTCAAATCATGTTTACTTCATAGATGCAATTGCACTTGTAATCGGCATATTATAATAATAACAACGCGCACACACTCAAAGCCCCGCACGGAAACCCTGTATCGCTGATGCCATGGACACACATATAGACAACCACAAATTACACCCAAGCTCATGAGATAAATAAATGTAGGCAATACAAATATTTCTCTCGACCCGGGAATCGAACCCCTTACGTCGCAGTCCAGCATGGTAACCGTACGGGCACGGAGGCAGTTAAATCGTCATATTGATTAAACTCTACTGCTCATTCGTAATTCAGATTCCACTTAGATCCGGAAAAGAACGAGCAAAAACCTCTGGTTTGCTCTTTGTAAACATTTGTACACATTTACAATATTTAATTGCAAAGCCCAAAAAACTTGGGTACACCAGGATAAGTGTCACTTAAACCTTGCTCAAATTCAATGTCACCATGTGAAACAATTTGATACCATATGCAATGAGATTTCACCAGACCTAGACCATCATTTACTCCGCATACCAAGGCGTGGGACTACCGAAAATTTTGCTAATGAGTTTTTCAAACAGTGCATTGCACCGCTAACTACTTTCACTGCAGCTGTAGCCGCGAAAGTACAGGGATGTAAATAAACAATTAACACTAGAAACGTATCTCTTCGTTCATTCGAGAACGGTTATGAGCATTTACTTTTTAATTAGGTACTTGATTGTTTGACTTTTTATTGGAATTAAGATTTTCTACTTTTAGACAAAAATAAATGAGCATAATGTACGTACGTCTTTTTAAAATTTAATTACGTATCTAATTAATATTTGTTTTTTACAACGTTTTTGCCGTGGCGAGATGGATCGAAGGATATTTTTGTAAATGTTCGTAATACTTGTATTAACGGTATTATAACAAACTAGTGGAGTAAATTCACAAAAATAATTGAATATCATGTTTGTCAAATATCGTGACATTCATTAAACTTAAAATTTTTTTTTACATGCTCACACTTATAGCTCCGCACTAGGGAGACCTTTTTATGCACTTATTTTAAAAAGCACACTTTTTTAAGTGCTTTTCGTTTAAACGCCCACCTCTAATTGCGGGTGCCATGGACACACATGTGCCGCCCTCATCCAGCCACAGCCGGCCACCTTGCTCAGGTCGTCCATCCATCTTGCCACTTAAGCTTACTGATTTTGTGAGCTATGTGGGTCACTTTAGTTCTCTGACGTATGACCTCGTTAGGGATTCGGTCCATCAGAGAAACCCCAAGCATAGCTCGCACCATCGACACACACATATACAATCACAAATTACATCCAAACTCACAGAGAAGTAAATGTTGGTCATACAAATATTTCTCCCGGCCTGGGAATCTAACCCGGGACCTCGTAGAAGATAATAAACGATAATTATTCTCCTTGCGCTGCAATCTGTCTGTCGCGATCACAGATCAGAATTGAAAGAAAAAGATTGTATTGAATTTGGAAACGGTTAGCATCCACAGCTACGTGTATGCAATCTAAAATTGACAAACTTAAAATATTTAGTGCTTTTAACTTTTTCTTCAGTTAGTGTAATTTATACCAAATGACCTATATTCTCAGAGCAATAAATAAAAAGAGAAGTGTCGTATGCACACGTGTGAGGTGAAAATAGCGCACGCATCGAGACGCACTCCTTCGACGACGGTAAAAACGATACGCGACGCGGTCCGTTACGCGCCACTCATGCGTGAACTGATACGCATTTTTATCAAAAACTTCGATGTACATTGTTTTAGATTTGTGGAGAAATTTTCTGAATTTTGTGCCGCGGCAAAGAATTTGCTACGAAATAATTAGAATAACTTTATTACATAGACGTGGATTTATGGCGTTCAAATTAAACATAAGTAATTCATATTCATTCATTGATTTTCATTTCAAATTGATGGTACAGACTAATAAACTTACCGACTGTAGTAGATACATAATATGTGATACCCCGTAATAAGGGCAAAATTACACTTATACAGTAGCTGTAGAAAGTAACCTCCGTGTGAAAGAGTTCGTCCAGGGAAGTACTGCCACCTTACCTATTTCTGCCGCCAAGCGATAATGTGAGCATCACTGCATTCCATTGATACAAGGATAAATTCATTTTATTTGGGAAACAAATAGTTTACAATTTGTTCACAAGATTATAGTACACAAAACTTATCTCTTAAACCAACAAAGTTTCCAGTAATAAATAGATTTTACGAATAACCATTGGTATGCTTTTTAACAAGGAAGTAATAATAAAAATTAAATATGAAAAAATAAAATAAAAACACTTAATATCAATTATTGTTCATAAATGGACTTCTAAATGATTTTATTGTACGCATTACAAGCTCTAAACAAGAAAACGTTACTTAAATGTTTAGTTTAGCAAGCAGGTACGCAAAATACACTTTTCAACCGAGAATTAGATCTAGGATATCTTATACTAATATTATGAAACAAAAATCTAGAACCAATCTTATTTCTGAAAATATTATACAGACATATTTGATCCAACGCGTCGTTTTTCCATCGTCACTATGTTATGTTATGACTAGGAAACGACGGATGCCTATAAGAACTTTTTAAATTTATTTTGAATGCGCTCAGTGCCAGAAATATAAATATTGTACTGAGGGTGCTAAACAGTAGGTGCATATTTTGGAATAGAACGAAATTCCTTCGATCCAACTGGACTCGAACGAATCATCTGTTGCCTGAACGTGGTAGTAAAACATGGTGATTCAATAAAAATGAAAATATTTAAGTTTTGGTTTGATGTCCTTTAGTTGTACCTGTTAAGTTGGTGTTATTATAAATACTGATAAGGATGCCATGGTGTTCCAGGTTGGTCGTATCCCGGCGGATCATCCGCTGGTGGGCGGACACAAGGGCCCGGTGCTGGACATCGCGTGGTGCCCCCACAACGACAACGTCATCGCTAGCGGATCAGAGGACTGTGTCGTCAAGGTAACCAAATTTTTTACGAAAATAAAATTGTTATTTGCAAACGCATACCGCAGAGTTCTTCAACCAGTCCT